CGTAAAACTCTGTATATGCTAGTTGTCTAGATTACATGTAATTTTGATGCTGGGATTGCTTCCACTGCTTATAATAATCCATCACCTTAGCTTACATCTTATATATAGTTATTTTTCTCATCAACACCTTATATTTGTGTTTTAAAATGATCAATGTGAGTGTCTTCTACTCAATTAGTAATTCTTTAAGATTGTTTTAATAATAAGCTAAAATAGATGGGTCCAGTACTTATTTGTCAGATGGTTACACCTAAAGTGTAGGTAACGTGAAGAAATTCTTAAAAATATTTTGCTACTTTGGTAGTTGGTACATCTATTTCACCAAATTAAAATTGTATTATTTGAGTGGCAAGTTTTAGACATGATGAATATCTCAAAGATATTGCAAAATTCCTTAAAATATCAACTCACGAAAATTGTGGAAATGACACTAGGTAGCCATTTTTAAACATACGTTTAAAATATATCTATAATTTACAATGTATTTAAAGATTAGCCAATTTCGTTTCAACTTCAGGACACAACGTCCTAGAGTTTAAACCTCAGAGTTCAAAATTCGGGACATCATGTCCTAAAGTTTGAAAATTGTGTCGAGAAGTTCGAATCTTATGTCCTGAATTTTAAATTAGTAGTTCAGAAATTGAGAAAACTTAGTCATGAATTTCAAATTAGCAACTCAAAAATTCAGGACACTAATTAAGTCCTGAATTTTTAAATTCAGGATACCTAGTCCGGAAGGTTGAGTAAATTGACTAATCTTTAAATAAATTATAAATTATAAATATATTTTAAATAGCGAATTTAAAAATAACTATTATTGCACTTCGCCCACGAAAATTGCTATTTACATGGACGATTAATGCATTTTGAATATAGCTAACCGTTCTGTCAATCAAGATTAGGTCGTCAAAAATCTCAATATAATATTTGGCACACGTGTGATGTGACATGAATATATACTAGTATAAGATTTTATTAGTTGTCTAATTATTATTTTTTTTCTATCCAATGCCAATATTTTTATTGGGATCCAATTAAATTTGAATTTTCATTAGAAAAATTTCACATTAGAGGTAAAACATTTCCTAATAAAGGTGACTTCATACACATGACTCGATTTATTAAGAATAATAAAATACGTATCATTCTACCACAAATGTTATGAACCGAAAAGTATCAGTATTTTAACAATGTTTCAAATGTTATCATATATATTACTACTATTATAGAAGCGGCTAAGAGAGGAGCTTCGGGTCGTTCGGGGGTGTTTTTTGGTAAATTTCCTGCTTTTCACTTGCTTGGTTGAGTTTTAATGTAAGTTAAAATTAGGCCAAATACCTATACGGCCCCTTAAACTTGGCTCAAGTTTTCATTTTGATACTTTAACTATGGCTAGTACCTATTGAACACTCAAATTTAATTTCAAGTGTACCTATTAAACACATCTTCTTTACCCTGTGTAAATAATTAAGTGCGTATTGTTCACTTTCGGATGATGTGGCAATAGATCGAATGAAAAAGTGACATGTGCCATTTTGACTTTTGATTTTCTTTTTTTAAGGCTAAATATTTCAAAAAATCTATTTTCACCCCTTTTAGTTTTATCTCTACCTCCCCCCCCCCCCCTTTTT